TTTGGGAACCCCCCCCCCCCCCGAAAAGCCCCCCCCCCCCCCCCCCTTTTTTTGACCGGTTGCCCCCCCCCCCCCCCCCCCCTGGCCACGAAAAGACGCCGCGCACGGACTCCCCACCGAAACGGAAGGGGTTGTGGACACGCTCGCCAAGATCGTGGTCGGTGGAGACGAGGACCTCATCGACAAGCTCGCCCTGCTCGCGGAAGCGAAGGCCGCCGCCGCCGCCGGTGACCCGGCCATCGCTTCTTCCGCCACCAACGGCGGGGGCCCCGGCGACGGGAACGGCGACGCTCACTGAGTGGACGTCGGCAGGGCTGGCAGGCAGGCAGGCGGGCGGGAGGGTGTAGCTGCGGAAAGATCGTTTGTTCTTGATGGGAGTCGTGCGCGTTCCCTGCCTGCGTGTTTTTCGCTGGGGTTGTCGGCGACTTTTTTGTTTGTTCTTGCGGCGTGGTCGGTTACTCTCCTCTTCTTGCACCTTTGGAAACATATGGTAGGGCATGTTCTTGGTTTGTCAGCGTGCGCCCTGTATCCTACTATTTTTGGTTTGGTTTGTTTCCCGTATTTCTTGTGGGGATTGAATTCGCCCGCCGACCAGGCAGGGTCCGTGGAACATTCGTGGAATATTCGGCTGCCTTCTTCATTACTCTAACTTCCCCGCCGCTGGATTATTTTTTTAGTTCTGATGGCAAGCCCGCCTTGGCTGAGAGGTTTTGATTGTTAAGCAATTTGCCGTGTGTATGTTGTGGTCGGCGATTGCTTGTGGTGGTTTCTTCTTGAAACACGCATCAAGTCATTTCAAGTGTAGTCGGCAGTGGGAAGCCACACCGCTGAAACTCTTGTGTTCCGTGCTAAATATGCACGCCAGCATCGGGGAGAGATTCTTATTTTTCGCGACCCCCGGAACCGGAGCTCTACGGATAGATGGAGAGAGGCAAGGCAAAACCGTACGGTGGGTAGAACCATGGAGGGACGGTTGATAAAAAGGGATGGCGGGACACGAAACCGAGAGGGAAAGCCGTCGCGATGTTTCTGCTGTAGTTGAAAGTGGGACCAGCAATCCGCGGGCCCCCCGGCGCGCGAGTGAGCCATGTAGGATCTCTGCCCGCTCTTGTTGCGGGTTCCGTGGGGCGGTGACATGTGCAGCTGGTTTCTCGTCAAGACTCAGGGGTGTCATTACCCCAAAGTCTCTCGTGCCCCGCATGTGCACCAGCTATGGCCTTTAAATATGACTGTGGCGGCGGCGACGACGATGGTTTTGCGGTTACGCCGTGTTGGTTGTTGCGCCGTTTCTCCTGTCTCATTTTCTGTGCACAGAGAATGCGAAAAAGAGGCGGGGGAAAGAGTAAGAGGATCTGTCCGGGGCGGGGGGCAGAGTTTGCCTATCTTGCCTGTCCTTTTGTAGGTATATTGTTGTGTTGTACTTCTTCGGCGTTTTTTTTTGTCTATATACGACAGCAGTTATTGTTTTAATGTCTTATTTTTTTATGTCCTGCTTGCGGGGAAACTATACTAAACGGGTATCGGGGGTTTCGTAGCCCGCGGCATATCGTAGGGCAGCGGTCTCTTGTGGTTTCGATGGGTACACAGTCGCGCATGTGGTCCGAGATCTTGGGTGCCCTCCTTCTTTGTCTATGCATGGGTGTAGGAGGTTGTGCTCCGATGTTTCTCATGCCGTGCATGCGATGCAACAGAAGCCAGAAACGAGACACGTGTTAACGCGTCCTCATCGACACAGCAGTATGGTTGGGGGCGGAGGGGGGCGGGTGAGGGATTTGTTTTGCTCTTTGTCCAGTCCGCCTGAGGGGAAGAAAACAGTTATTTGTAAATTGGCAATCTGGAGATGAAACATTGCAGCACCGCCGTACGTGTATGGTAAGAGGGAGAGCGGCGGGGCGGGCGGGATAGATAGAGAAGGAGAGAACGGAGATGCGTAGATGTCTACACCAAGGCCACAGGCAACGATCATAGTTTCTTTTTCTTTCCGGGCGACGTGTAAACAGCGGCAGGTAGATGGGGACAGGAAACTCAGGAGGGAGACGGACAAATAGTGCCAGGACGCGAGGGTCAACTAGTGCAGCAGTACGGCGGTAGGCAGAGATGTTTAGGTTGGTTAGCCTTTGCGGAGCAGAAACATACGGGGAGCAACCGCCGATGGTGAAGTGAAGGAACAGATGCTACTAAGCACCAACACAGAAGAGTTTGCACCACTGCTGGTGTTCGTAATAGATATGTAGTTGACTTCAGGAGAAAACGCACCCGCAGCAAAAGCATCCTCAAGCAGTTGCTGCCACCAAAGCAACTCGAGGGGCACAAAACGCCAGCAGTAGTAGTGTTATCCTTACAGCAGTTGCTGCGGTCAAGACAACTCGAGGCGGGCTCTGTATGGAAGTCCGAAAAAGCTTTGGATAATGGATGTGGTTGGTTTCCTTGCGTAGGAAATCGTAAACCATGCTCCTTTTTTCTTTTGACGCCAGAATGGCGGCTCTCTTGCGTAGCGCGTTCATCAAAAAAGGGTTGATGGGACTTGGTCAAGTTACGCATATTGTTTCGTCTCGCAAACAGACACGATACATTTGGGTCCACATGATGACGGCGCAGCTTCCGCTTTTTCTACCGCTGTCGTTGTTTTTCCTTTCGCTGAAAAAGAAACAACGATACGGACATCCACGCTTTTGACAAAAAACATCAATCTGGTAGTATACAATCCCAACACCCGTTCCCCTCTGTTTCGATCGCCCCGTAACACGAGTAGGGAGTAAAATCGAGAACTCCTTTCACCAGTCAAGGCCACCCGTCCCCTCTCGACGACCAGCCGGCTGCCATTAAAAGTAGCCTCGACCCCCCCCCCTAAACCCGGGAAACTGTCGAGGCTGTGTATCCTCCGTGGCTGCCTCAGGATTCGGAGGTGCGCCACACGTTTGTTCGGGCACCTCCGCTGGATGAGCCGCGAAAACATTCGACAACCAACACACACACACAGCGGCGGTTGCACGCCAAACGGCGGGCCGCGGTACTTCGTAGCAAGACATAACGTCGACAAAAACAACTACACCTAGAAATGACCGCCCCCCTGCCGCGGTCGCCCGCCCCGCCCTGAGTACTTCCTAAAGCCACTGTGCTGGTGTATGTACCATTACGATGTTGACTCACGCAACAACAGGTCACCTCGGTATCACGTTGAGCAACTCTCGCTGGCTGCTGTCCAAAGACAGAAAGAGGACGACACTCTGCCTTTCCGGATAGGCAGACTTGGATATTGTTGTCGTGATAACACAGGCGAAGCGCAATGCAACCGCCGTTGCTAAAATACCCCCGGTCGGTTCTCCCCTCCTCCCTCTCTCTTCTCCATACATGAAAATCCCGCACAAAAAACAAAAAACACCACGACGCACGCACACATACCCCAGACCGCCTCCCTCAGCCTTCCTCAGCACGAAGGGATGCTATCTAAATAGAGAGAGTCCAAAACCACAGCCGCCGCACGGCGGGGGAAACACACAAAAGAGGTCCAAGACGTCGTATCCCTCGTGAACGTACGAACTGCTGTGTTTTTTTTTCTTTGAATAACATCGACCGCGCTAACCGACTGACCAATGACCCCACGTCAGTCTTATAGCGGGATAACATGTGTGTGAGTGTACCCCCCTCTCCCCCCCCCCCGTTCCGCCCCTGCCTACCAATTCTTCCCTATTCCTACCATAGAACATTGCACCCGGGGCCACCGCCGATCCCGCCGTATCGGGGCACACACACGGAGAGATCGATCAATCGCCAGCTTATCCCCCGCTTCGGCGACAACGACAACGACAACAGCGACAACAAAAACGACAAAAACAACATCATCTTCATCAACGATAACTAAACGTCACCATGAGCTCGAAACTGATCCCACCCCGGATCGAGCACTAAACATAACCAAGTAGGTAGACTCGCGATAGAGGGAGCAACGACAAGATGCCGCACCGCCCCCCTATGGAAACAACGCAAGTCCTCTACGAGATTTGCACGGACCAGGGGTGTTCCACCCTGCCGTACTGGATGTCCGTCAGGGTCTCCCAGAAGCGTTTCGCGAGAGGGCCGATGCAGTCGCCACTGGGCACCTGTACAGCAAGGGAGAGGCAAGATGGACAAAGGAGGTGGTAATCACACGGCTGACACGCCTGCGCCTTACCGAGAGAATATCGTCGCAACGAACAACGACAACGACAGCACCAACCAGCTTCAAAGGAAGCCGAGTGCACCAACAACCATTTCAGCAAACAGCGGCTGAATGAAGCGAGAGGGCGGGCAAGTGAGTATCCTCCTGTTCCTACGGCCGAAAGATAAACAAGACGGCCCTACCGATGTCATCACAGAAACGTAGACAGTTGGGGGCAAGAGCACGACCTCCAACATGCTGCCGTTGCTCCAGCACTGTTCTGACAACGCTTAAGCACCCTCAACCAAAACATACGCCAACACATCCAAATGGTTCATTTCCTGAATACCATGCGCTCCTACGACGTAGTACGTGCTCTAGAGTGCACGGACAAAAACGGTAACCACAAACAGGAACAAAGAGATTTTGTCCCCTCAACCACCACCAAGAACAAGAACAGCAAGAGAGAAACCAACAGGGCCATTGATCGTGTTTTAAGGGGACCGCAACCCACGGGGCGCACCTCGATGTCGTGCTCCCTGTACTTGATGCCGTTTACCGGTGAGATGACGGCGGCCGTACCCGTGCCGAACACCTCAAGAAGCTGGACAACAAAAAACCAACACCACGGAAAACCAACACACCAGGGAACGGGAGAGTGGGGGGGGCTGAGAGATGGAGGAGAATCGCGGGAGTCGGTCAACTGCGGCAGTGGGGTGGGGTGGACGCAGTAGTGCCTTGTGTGGTTATTTTGTTGCGGTCGCATCAGAGTACCGCACTACACCCCCAGGATTCATTCTCCTAGGAAAAGCTCGACATCTTGCCAGCAGCGGGCTACACGAACGATGGGGCCTTCCCAAACATATACTATACTCCTACGTGTTCGACACGAGCAGTTGAACGCCCCCTTTTCTTCCCTTCTTCGTCATGGGGGACCTCCCCCTCTTCCGTCCTACTCTGCCACCGACGTTTCATCCTTACCCGTCCCTCCCGGGATGCCTTGAGGACCTCTCCCATGGTGAGACGCCTCTCGCTGACCTCGAGAGGGACGCCGCGTTCGAGCTCTCGCCACTCCCTCGCCAGCTCCAGAACCGATCTCCGCGTCACGCCTGGTTTCGCGATCAACAGATTATTGTAGTAAGCTCGGGCCTAAAATCTAAAATCAATCGGAATCGTCGAGGAAATAATCACCAAGACAAGACAAAGAAAAAAAAAAACATTGGGAATTGGACAAAAACACACACAAGAGAACACGGTGGGGAGACAGTAGACGAAAAGAGGATCGTAACGACAGAAGTTTTCCGTACGAACCCTGTCTTTGATACGTTTTGCTGCCACCACTCTCCCAAAAAAATCGTGTGCGGTTGGCACATATACACCGGGTCCCCAAAAATTACACCCACGGGAGCTCCCAAACACAGCCTTGAAGAAGAGAGTTCCACACGTACCGTCGAGGATGTCCCCTGCGTCGAGAGGTGACGTCACGAGTTCCACACCCCCGCCCCCCTCCTTCGCCATGAGGAAGAAGATGTTCATCGCGCCAACCTCGGTAACGTAGTCCTCCTCTCCGAACAGCCACAGGACCTACTTTCGGTGTTGCAGCAGCGCCATAGTTAGTGTCGTTGTTTTTCTTTTCATTGTGGTCAAGCAAAAAAAAATATCGACCGACGAGATGGGCGAGAGGAGTCAAGAGAGAGGGACAGAAGACAGGAACATGGTCCGTGGCCGTGGAAAAAATCGCCAGGGAGTCGACAAATCAACAGAGGCAACGGCAGCAGTGCCAGTCAGTACAACGTCCCAATGTCAGAAAAAGTGGGCAGACAACTACTTAAGCGTTGCTGCTGCGCTACTCGTACGTAACATGATGCAATTGCCGGCTTTCGTGCGGGGTTTCTCATCGAATCTCTACAAGATCCCCTAACGGAGCAATAAGGACAAACCGGCAGGGGCTGCTGCTGCAGCAGCAGCAGCAGTGAACAGGAAACACTCGAATAAAAACAAACAGCCGTCCCGTCTACCATACCAATGCTGTGTGCAAAAGACCAAGCTGCTACATCTACCAGACTAGGATTCTCAAAACAGCATTATGTGCCTGCTGCCACCAGGAGGTCTACCTCCCCCCCCCCTCGAAGCGAGCAAGAAAAACGAACAAAGAAGCAAGCCCCTCTGTGTATGTTAACCTCGCTCTCTTGAGAGCAAGCAGAAAAACACCGTCGACCTTTTTCTCGCCCCGCGCCCTCACCTGCGCGCAGCCGTGCTCCTCCAGCGCCTGTGCCTGCGGCTGTATCGTGGGGGCGTAGTTGCCGCCGGCCTTGGCGAAACCCATTCCCCCCGGCCACGCCCGCCTGTGCTCAGTGTCCGCGTAGAGCTTAATCGGGTTAAAGCCCTCCTGTTTTTAATAAAAAAATAAAATGACCAAGCAGCACAAATCAGACGGAGGGTACTCGGAGTGCGTTATCCGGAGAGTTGGGCCAACGCCAAAGAAGTGCTACGAACGCCTGCTGTCTGTACCGCAAGCTTGGCAAGAGCTCCCGCCCTCTGCTTGAGGGGGGTTACGGCGATTCATAGGGCCGATACAATTGGTGTTTACGGAGCACAGGTACGCACCTTGTAGTACGGGCCGACTGGCGACAGGATGACGAAAAGCTTCAGGTTTGCCGCCGCAGTGATTCCCAAGTACGGCTGGACGAGGATGAGGAGGAGGAGGAGGAGGAGGAGGAGGAGAAAAGTGGAGGAGGAAGATGAAGCAGGAGAAAAATGACAACGACAACAAACGAGGACAAGAAACAACAACGAACAGCGACGATGACAGCAGCAGCAGCAGCAGCAGCAGCAGCGATCGCAAGGAAAGGACACAGAAATTGAACAACGGGCACGGTCTGGAATGGGAGGGGGGTGTGTGCACTCATAGCCGTGCATGCCATAGTCGTTAGACCTTTGACCTCGCATCCCTACAAAGCCGGAAGGCGCGGGGGGGGGGTTGTTTGACGGGGGCTTCGTAGATGGACAAGTGTTCCAACAAGCACGTGTACCTAAAAAATACTCATGTGTACACGGCGAAACACAGAAAATCACAGCAGCCTTCATCAACAGCAGTAGCGGTCTGGTCAGCCAGCAACAATTTAGGAGACCGTTTCTCACGTGGGTGCTGACGGCCGTCGGGCGGAGGTAGAGCGAGTACCCGTCCCCTTCCGGGATCCAGTCCGCGTCCTCGAGCACGAGCTTGCTGGAATTAACGAGTTTTCGTAACACGCCACACGCCGGCACACAAACAATGATAATGATTCAGTTCCTGTGTCGTGTTTACAGCAAATAGCCTGGGACTGTAGGGTGAGAAAAACCGCTTAGGCGGCACGGAGCGCTTCGACTCAAGACGCAGGTTGCGAAAATGACGAGATCGCCTGGAGCAACTTTTGTCTTCGTGTTTGTCTTGGTGTGCTTAAGCTGCTGGGAACGAAAAGACGAACATCTTCCAAGGATACCAGCCGCACGGGCAATCACGGCAGCAGCAGCAGCAGCAGCAGCAGCAGCAGCAGCAGCCAGAGGGAACGCTGTAAGCCCCAAGAGTTAGTCAGAACCACCTGGCAGCTCGTCTGGGACACAAGCGCACACCACTACGCAACCAAAGCCTACCCTACCAACACGCCAACGCCACCGCCACCGCTACCGACGCCGCAAAGAAGCACGCAAAGCAGCAAAGCGGTTGGGGCAGTAGAGTCCCGTTCAGACTCACCCAGGCACGCGTATCGAACAATCGAGCTTACGCCAGAAACGACAACAAAACAGCAACAATTTGGCACCACCATTGAAATCCCGCCCCTCGGTCGCATGGTGCCTCCCCCTGCCCCCCCTAGGCCGAAAGGGTCTCAGCCGCGTGCCTACCCCTCCCCCCCCCCCTCCCAGGAGTCCAACAACACGTCTCACGGCGGAGGAGAACGGGGGGTGCGAAGGTCCAACAAAGAACCACCTCGTTTGTTGCCCTCACAACAACACTCACACCATGCCGTGCCGTAAAACCTGCAGCTGTCAGACGCACCTGCACACGAAAATTAACGGCGTGGAATACTGTTTCACCTGATGAGCTCGATCATGCCATCCTCGTCGACCTTGGGAAAGCGAAGCCTTTCCATGGATCTGTTGAGGCGACGGATGTTGAGTTCCGGCCGGAACAGCCGCACGCGTCCCTCGGCGTCTCGGTAGGCCTTCATCCCCTCGAAGCACTGTTTTTCGTTGAATTTTAGGTGCATCGTTCGTTAGCAAAGGCATTGTTGACATGAATGTTTCGGTTTGTTTCCGTTACGATATTTTCGTCGGGGAGGGTAGGAGCGGGGGGAGGGATCGAGGGAGGTGAGAGCGTGCGAGCGCGAAGGCCGTGACGACAGTCCATCTACATGAGGGATGGAGGCAAATACATACCAGCCAGGAAGCGTTTGTCGTCGTAAACTTCTCTCCTTGTTGCTCACAAGACCTAGATGAAGACATCAATAAAACATGGTGGGCGATGGGCGATTGTCCGCCCCAAAAGCCGCAGGTGCAGCCCGCGTACGCACACGACCCCCGACTCTTGGCACGATCCACTCGTCAGTCCACAGCACACATCAACACTAGTCGGGCAGCGTCGCACCTGCAAGCCGTAGTGAAGGGACGAGGCGGCCGGGCTGATGCGCAGGTCCCCGTACGGCAGGATCCTGGGGGCTTGCCAGCCCTCTTCGTTGTCCCAGTCGAGGTGCAGCATGTGGTCCGAGAACGTCTGCCCGAAGACGAGGGTCGACTTGTCCTGCTTCTCGCGAGGAGTCGTAGTGCGCTCAACAGTCAGCAGCGACGGCTGAAGGCGCAGAGCGAGCGAGACGGGCGAATCCGGGGGGGGGGGCAGAAAGGAGGGGGTCCGTTGGACGGGAAAAAAAACGTTGAGCGGGAAGGGCATCGGATCCTCGCGATCGCTGTGTCTCCGCTTCCTTTGCCCTTGCTCTGTCGAGCACCGTCGAGAAACGGCAAGTGTTGCGGTTGTATATTGTAACGTTGTTTGCTTCGTAAATTTATCTGCTGAGTACGTGGACTGGAGGAGCCGTACAACGTGACAGAGCCGAGACTGCCGACGTTGAGCGCTTGTGCACCCCTCTGAGAACAGTTTGTCAATCGATCGGAAATTGAGTTTGATCCGTTTGTTCCCAACACATCTGCTGCTGTCAAGGCTAAGAGCCGAAGGAGGAACGGTGTGGTACTACTGTAGTAAGCAAAAACAAGAAACAACTGGTTGGTCAAACATGTGAGAAACATGCACCACCAAAAGGTGGGTTACTGGGGCCACACACACATGCATATGTCTTAGGTTCCGGATTTGGCGATGCGCGATCCATTTGCTACATGATGATTGGACAGCCGCGCATGTACTCTTTATCTATTGCCGGCAGCTTTCTTTCCGGGAGAATTGCGTCGTGCGGAAAGTAGCAGATGATGCGGCCACAGCAGTGTTCGTCACGGATCAAATTGACGTACACATGATGGTCACTTTTCCCCCACCACTGATACAGACAGATGACGCCGTAGATCTGTTCCAAAACATGCGACAATCATGACATCACGAGTGAGATCTGTGTGACCTCGCCACACGGTCTGTATGAAGCAGCATGAGATCTTTCTTGGTACCAGTGCTCTGCTGTGCTGAAATACATCGACTACTGCTGTAGACTGGATTCCAGACTACATTTGTCCAGATGTGCAAACGTGCTGGACGCGTATCTCCGCTCTTGCGGCATTCTCAGCCGGAACGTTGTCACTGAAAACAATCTACATGCACCTCTGAAACATACCAACCTCTCAATATCTTCACAAATAACATGTCCTGAAATGTTTCCTCTGTGCCCGCTGCAACCGCAAGGCGTCATGTTCTGTCTCCTCTCCCACGGCGGCTACCGCAGTACAACACACCTCAATCCCTGGCAGGTGCTGGAAAGGATCGCTAGTCGCAGCAGGAGACGACGTCTGGCCACTCGGTCCTGGCCTCCCTGCCGCCGCAGTATCGACCCCGATCGCCTCGGCGGTAGCCGAGGACGCTCCTCCCCGCACGCCGAGCGCCGTGGAGTACACGCGGCCCCAAGGCTGCGGCCTGGCGGAGGCAGACGACGCGGCTCTCGACAGCAAGATGCCGATAAAACCCATCCCGCCTCTTATCGCGCTCCTCGCCATCATCGCTTTCGCAAAGATGTTTTGGTGTTGTGGCAGGCACTCTGCAGGCGCACGCTTCACCTGTTGTGCTTGTGCGTGTGCTTTTTCTCTTGGTGCTACTAGGGGGCGCCCTGCTGCCCTGCTAGCCACAGGGAGCGTGGCTCGTGGCCCGGACCCGGGACTGTTGATTGTTTTCGGAGATCGTGACAGGACCAGGAGGAGATCTACGAACAAAGCAGCCACACCAACCAAGCGCAGAGTTCCCTGCGGTCCTCGTCGCCAAAAGCTGGTGAGAGTGACGCGTTTGCCGTTCGAGACTTTTACTGGTGTAGTAGTGCAGATCGTGAATCCCTGCGTATATTTTTTTTTACATGCACGACCACGAGCGCACTGTTGTTGTGCTACCCTACTCTGTTAAAAGTAAGTACCCTGATGAAAGTAAAAGACTATCTGGTATTACCACAGCAGTACAGCAGTAGACTCGTCTACATTCACGACGAGGGCCTATACGCAGTCCTCTGCTGGGTGCAGTATCCAAGCATGGGTACAGCAGCGTGCATGTGTCCTCTCGTTATACGCGCTTTGGGCCTTGACTACCGTTCCTCTTCGTCGTGCCGGCATCGCGAGTGGTCCATTTCGCCGTCCTGCCCAAAAAACGAAACAGGTTTACGACGATAGTCTACATATGGCAGGTGTAGTACCAAGTAGACTTGTAGACTAGTTTGTGTGTGCATATTGTAGAGCGTGCAAATCCATGCCAGCAGAAGCTTCTACAGTAGAATAGGTGAGGTTTTTTCCACTACGCGCATGATGTCCCGCGGGGAAGAGAAAACGACCAAAATGTCGGGGTGTACACTCTGGAAGTATTGTTCGGTCGCAAATTTAACTTTCCGCGCCCCCACTCTCCCCCGCCGGCAACCGTCGTGTTCGCGATGTGATCATCATCACGTCAGTCGATTTCGCGACTCGGCAGGCTGACCGAGACCACTCTCTCCGGAGTAGACTTTTACCGCGTTGAGGGCGGTGCTGATCGCTACCTTACCGTTGGTTTTGGCTATGTACTACTGTAATGCTGTAGCACGGTCGAGAACCAAGGGGAGTCGCAGCATCTGCAACTAACTGCAAAGGGTCGCCAGGACCGAGTTCGTTGAGCACTTCGACACCATCAACTGCGGGGAGGTTCACCTTCAGCGTGGCTGATCAACATCAACCCCAGGAATAACCCACGGGTGAAACCTGTAGCGTTGCATTCAAGCATGTATCATGACGGGGTCTTGCGGGCTACTCGTGATTCTCACACGCCACACGCCAAGGCATACATGGCTTCATTTGTGCCCCTAACAGGAATACTGTACCCGTAAAAAACACGTTTGTCGCACCATCAGTTTCACCTACCCCCGTTCATGTCCCGCCACAATGGGAAATTGGGTGGGATCGGGAGCGTGGATGGATCGGCTAGTCGGTGAGTTTGTGGCAAGAGCAAGCAGGCCGCGAGGACAGGGCTTGATGCGTAGAAAATGTCTTTCAGCTGCATGTTCCACTCTCTGTTGTTTTGGTGCTCATGAAAGACGATATGGGTACGTCCACAGCGTAGAGACGGGCCAACTGTTCGTGTTTTTCGTGTCGCCGCCATGAAATCATTCCGAGATCTGTTCTCGTTCTCTTCCTCCTTCACGTCTTACTCTTGATATGTTTTGCGCCCTATGGTTGCCCCCTCCCCCCCCCCTGCCCCTCCACACGTTATTTGTTCTTTGTTCTTGGCGCTGCGGTTCTCGCACGCTGGAGGCCGTGGAGCCATCGTCGGGCGCTGCATGCCGCGTACAAGAATCTAAGCAAGCTGGGTTGTTGTTGTTGTTGTTGTTGTCTTCACATTAAAAACCGTTCCGATCTCTCTCTACCCAGTACGAAAGCTCGATCTCGCCGATGGTGTCTCCCGCGGCGGTTGCTACGGTATGCACCAAGATGCCGCCGTGACTTCGCACTGATTTCGTTGTTTCAGTTTGAACGTCGGTACTAGTCTCTGTGCTGCTGAGAAAGGGTCGAAATACGTTCCTTCAGCGACTTACTGTAGGCGTACATGAGTGCTGCAGGTTCTATTAGTAGTACCAAGGGCTCGAGGCCCTCAGCCCTCTCAGCGCGCTTTTACCACGGTTTTTTCCCCCATGGTTCCGAGGAGTTGTTCCCAGGACGTGGGCGTAGAAGTTCTACGAATGAAAGCGGATGAAGAATACAGACGGGGATGTGTGTGCTAGGTAGTCCAGCAGGACGAATCGCCAGGCACGTGCAGCTCACAAAAAGAGTGTTGTGGTCCTTGAACACGTGTCCCTATGTAAGGGAGCATGTAGACTATGTGCATCAAACAAGTGTGTGGACGAAGATACCCTCGTCTTCATCAGCCGGCTATCTTGTCCATGTAGATTGTACCTAGCTTACTCCCCGCGCTCCCGCTTGGCTCTATTGTGAGCGAAGCTTTTGACACCGTATGTATGCTGTTTCAGAGATGGGCAATGTTATGTTGGAAGTGGGCTGGTGGGCGTGCTCTCTGTCGAGGCTGCCATGTTTTTCCAGGCCGTCCGCCAGTGATGTTGTTGTGTGTCATGGTATTGGTCGGAGGTTGTTTTTCTACGATAGATAGGATGGATGCCTTCGCGCGAGCGTCATTCGTTTCGACGTGGTTCAGCAGTAGGTTTGGTCTCGGCTTGCGAGTGGTGGGCTTTGTCGGTCTGTGTTTTTTTTTATGTCCGTTTTGGGTCGGAAGCCTCTGTAATCTCCTTCTGTAGGAAGTTGGTGCCTTGCTGTCGTGTTTGTTTGGAGATGTCAGGTGTGATGTCCTCGCCGACTGTAGGCGACTATAATCGATTTGGAAGTACTATAGACATGCCTTCCTTTTCGTTCGGCGGTGCATTCCGTACTGCTGTGTTAGGTCACATTTATTTCGAGTGGATAAACCATCGATGCAATTGCTGTTTGCAGAGTGTGTGTAGGCCATCGCCAACTTACCAACCATCTTTGATACACGCGCGCGCATGTCTTTTTTTCACTGGCTGGGTTTGTTATAATAGCGTTGCGTACCCTCCTCTGTCGATGGCTATGACATTTTTCCGTCCGCGTTTTCGGTCCCGCAATTATAACTTCGTGAGTTCTGGGTACCGTTTGATCGGCGGCCTACCATAATCCTCGGTGTGGATGCGAGCCGACGTACACATCTAGTCTTCGAGGCTAACGGGTATCCAGTCAATGACGACGCGGATGGCAGTACGCACAACCATCCGTAGTTTCGTTTCCGACCGCTCGCCACAGCGTTGCTATACAGTAGTGGTCCCGATATAGTGACACCCTGAATAGTGAAATGCCCTCAATAGTGGCATCAAAATCTCTTGTCACAATCTCAACCCGATATAGTGGTATTGTACCACTATTGAGGACGGGTCCCTCAATAGTGGCATTTCGGGAATCTCACCCCCCCAATAGTGGCAATTCAAAACGCCGGAGCCTCCCTGTTTTTCACCGCAAGCTCTGTCCAAAGACGCAAGGGAGATTTTTGTGTAGAACGTTGGCAACATGTACGTCAAAGAGGACACATTTTGTGACAACGAGGTTGAGCTAGACAACACCGAAGATTCCGAGAGTGAGAGGTGGAGGGATGAAGGCGCCGCCATCGTTCGCGGAACTGTCTGGGATTTTTTGTCCTCTAGAAGAGTACGCGGAGTCGTGTGGCATTGGCGAGGCCAGGCATTTCCTCCGTAAGGCAAAGATGGCATTCTTCGCAGCACACGCCGCTAGACCGTCACGCAGTTGGTCATAGTGTAGTGGTACTGATTGGTCGGTTGACGCCTACAGGTGCAAAAGCATCGTGACGGTTGGGATTGATGCGCCGGAGTAGGGAGTGTTCGGTGTTTTCAACTTGGTTGCTCCAGTTGGTTTCACGTACATTGATATTTCAACATGGATGCGTGTTTTGCTTGCGTTGAACCCCATCATGGATGGCCAGACAAGACAAAGAAAAATGGTGGTACTTTGTGCAGTCCGCCTGCACACAAAAGGTAGGGTGCGATCGCCAAAGGCCTCGTTGTCACAAGACGACGTCAAGTGTCATCGCACACGTGATGGGCAGACGCCTGCGTTTGTTTTCACGCGGATACTGGGGCACACAACAAAAGAGGGCGGACCCAGATACATGTAAACGCACACATACGAGTGAAGATCCAAGGAACAACTGTCCGTAGCGGAAGCATCAAAGCTTATTTTCCGATATAGTGGCAATAATGCCACTATAATGCCACTATTGACTAGTCAATAGTAGCATTATTGCCACTATATCGAATAGTGGCATTGCCCTGAATAGTGGCATATTTTCCTCTTGCCACTACATGCCACTATATCGGGACCACTACTGTATGAACTTCTACAACCAACCATCATTGTTGATACTTTCTTCTCCACCACCCCGCATGTTATCATCAGTCGTGCAAACACTGGCATCCAAGAGTTGAATGAATCATTCGCAAAGAGTCCCCCATTGTGTCATCTTCAACCTTGCCCCGGAGAATTTGGCATTGCGACGGGTATGATCGGGATTGTTCGTAGTGATGATGATGAATGACAAGCGGGAGAAGTTATATACCGCCTTCAACAGCTACAGATGCGATGTCGACTGAACGGTGGCCTTTATCTTCGGTGTTCTGTGCATTTCCGAAAACGATAGAACAGATAGATATCGCCACGCGATGCGGCAAGCCTCGCTGCGGCAAGCCTCGCTGCGGCAACGACTTCAACAACACATACATGCCCTTTGAGGAAAAACACCTCAAACATGTAGCAGATGGTTTAGTCCGCCGGTGATGTTCGTTCACAGTTTCCGCACAAAGTTTCAAGGGGTTCGGGGGGTAGGAAGAGGAGCGAACGGTGGGGGATGCCGTGCTTCTTCTTCACGGCCACACCGCTAGCCCCGCTCTCCTAGTCTCCTATCGTCCATTCAGCCTTCTGCACATCTCGACACGCGGAAGTAAATATTAGGGCGTTTGCGGACTGGTCTCAGGTCTTGGTCTTGGAAGTCGGAAGCAAGTTTAAAACCAAGGCCGGAATTGTATTTCAAAACAGCCTGCGAAGACTGGAGCGTGATTTTTCGGTCTTGAGCACGCGGAAATTTCCAAGAACGTTGATTGAGTTCAATACGACGGAGCCCCTTTGCCGGCGGCGGCAGACAGATGTTTTTTTTTTTTAGTCTTCACTTCAAATCAGCGCTCACAGCACGAGTGCCGTTTACTCCAACCCGTGGTCACACAGAAGAGCCCCTCTCTACCCTCCCCTCCTGCGGTACTTGCCTTCGATTTTTAATGCGAGAAGAGTTCAGCACTCTCTTCCTTCTGTGTACACACGAACTAGCGCTATCCACTAGGCCAGGAGCGGAAGCGAGAGAAAAACTCACTTTGCAAGAAAATCTCGCTTGCGCCGGGATTCGAAAATCTGACCTGACCTCTAGAAGGCTTCGAGGATACCAACTAGACCACCGTGGCGACCGGTGGTTGAGCCGACTCGGAACACAAAACATACGTATTTCCGAGCTTCCGCCTCCTCTACCTTTACCCAACAAGGAAGGCTACTACTACTCTACTATAACTACACCCACACACCCAGCTAACTAAGTAGTCTAGTCATATGTCATGGAGAATACTGGTGGAGCAACGTACTCATGAACAACAGGTGGCTAGCCTAGTTCAGTTACGGGGAGTGCATGTGGGAAGCGTAGCGCCGCAAACAGCGGAGGCATGCATGTGCGTGCCCCTTCAGCACGCGAACAAAATGTCATACACATCATCGCAGTCAGTCGTCCACGGAGTCGATCGTCCCCGTCAAACGAATCACCGCAGCACGGTCCTCAGGACACACGCGCTGCAGCTCCTCACGCTCCCATGCCGCTTGAAGCATCCCTAACTCCATCACCTCCGCCTCCACCTGTGCCGCACTCCTGAGATCTATGCCGCCCGCCTCACCGCCTCACCCTCCTCACGCCGGCTTGATGTGTCGCTCATGAGCATGCATGTAGAGCGGTTGCTTCGGTTCACACATTTACATGTAAGATAACACAAAAGTTGCACCATGTCGGCAGCATGCAATGCGCACCGGGTCGTCTGCGGTGCAGTGACGTCTGTCTGACTGTCTGTCTGGCGGTACTGCTGTAGTTGGTTCGCCATGATGTCGCCTATGACAGCCGAGTTGTGTGTGTTTGGGCAGCTCCACAGACAGGATGGTGCGGCGTGTGTCGGGAGGACGTCGGGAGTATCTCGGGGTGTGTAGGCCAATGAAAAATTGTTCTTTCAAAGACAAAACTGAGCAAGACAAAATCGGAGCTTTTCTCGGGTCTTTGGGGGCAATTCGCGAAGAAAGCAAAGACCAGATTTCTAAAGATCCATCCGACTTCGGCGCTCGGGGGGATAAAAAAGACCAAGACAAGACCAAAATCAGATGTATGTTCGCAAACACCGTATATATATATTGTTTTCGCCACACAGACAAGAGGAAACACGTTTGTTTTTCGACAGGTGGACATCGTATTTTCACTGCTGCTTCGCTATTATTGCTTCTTCTCTATGTGTGCTACTTGAGGTCTTTGAACAGCTTTCAACCATTCACGGTTAGTCAAATGATGTTATTTGTAGGACTCACTTCTCACTCTCCCGCAGACTCGAAACCTTCTAGAGGTCAGGTCAGGGGTGGGTTCGAATCCCGGCGTAAGCGAGCTTTTCTCGCAAAGTGAGTTTTTCTCTCGCTTCCGCTCCTGGCCTAGTGGATAGCCCTAGTCCGTGTGTACACAGAGGGAAGAGAGTGCTGCACTCTTCTCGCATTATTAAAAATCGAAGGGCAAAGTACCGTAGGAGGGGAGGGTGGAGAGGGGCTCTTCTATGTGACCACGGGTTGGAGTAAAACGGCACTACACAGTGCTGTGAGCGCTGATTTGAAGTAAAGACAAAAAAATACTTTTCATTCAGTGGGCGTTTGTCTGTTCTCCGCCAACAATAAAACGACATGATGAATGAGCTGCTTCGCACAAACAAATAAAAAGCTGACGGTCGAAATATGTGTACGTTTCATTTGTTCCCTGGATATGGGGGGATACGAAATACTTACTCTGCGTGGGGCTGTTCGCGAGCAGCTCCCTCTGGGCAAAAAACTGCTGTAGTAGTAGTCTGTTTGTTGTACAATGGGTGCATGCATGCATGTAGTAGTAGTGTAGTAGGCTAGAAGACCCAAAAATAGTAATAATATAACGTGCCATAGTCTGGACTAGTCAGTCTGTTCCAGGCGCCAACGATGAAATATTGGCTCAAGGCGTGGGTGGGTGTGGGTGGGGAATGATGGAATAAGTATGTAGAGACGAGATGAATGCTGAGCAGCTCAAGACATGTAGTCTATGTACGTAGCAACTGCTGCTGTAGGATATTGTAAACTGCTGCGCAATATAACTACATGACATGTGGTGCTGCAACTCTTTTTTTTCTTCGAACCGCTGGACTTGGTCGCATCCCCATCTCTATGGACTACATACACATGAGACACATTGCAGCAAATCAATACCATGTTCCTCGGGATTGATTGCGAAGCCCACTCCAAGCAGATCTTGTGTGTCATGTGTGCGTGCACGATCTATTTCACGTAGCCGCTATGTACCCTCCAAATTCACCAGTAGCTCGGCTGTCGTGCCCCCTCGGTCGCTCCTCCGTGATTCTCACTCTGCCTGCTTGTGCCCTCTGTTTGATTCTCATCTCTCAACTCTATTTCTTGAAACAAAGACACCACTACCATGTCTGGCTGGAACGCTTACGTCGACACTCAGCTGGTAGCCACGGGGGCCGTGTGCCAGGCTGGCATCTTCGGCAAGGCTGACATGCAGTGCTACGCCAACGCGGGCGATTTCCAGGTCTGTGCTCTTTGTTCGGCTTCCGAAACGACTTGCTTTTAGTGAGCCCCTTGATTCATCCGAATTTTGCCTCAAGAGGCACCTGCAACTTTTTCGTGGCGTGCCGGTGGTGGTGGGAAACAAAGAGCAACAACGTTGCAATTGGTGCTGCTTCACGGCTCCAATTTCTTTGCCGACAAGCGTGCAATCCTGATGGCGCACGTTCACGCCGCCGGCCGGGGGCGCGGTAGACTTGCACTGCTGTTGGGTTTGTGCGACGGTCCACAAAGACATGGTCCTGTTGATGATGCGGCGGAACAACCCAGTACTCCCAGCGTTGCGCCATGCGATGCTGGCTGCCCGCCCCACCACGCGGAGACCGGAGAGGTCTCCCGCCCCGGCGTAGCCCAGTTACGATCAAGGAGAGGTTGATAACATGGCAATGCATTGGGCTTGCGTTCAGAAAACACCGAGCGAGAGAGAGAGACACGTTCCGCACACACCGAAGAAAAAAATGTGATGGTTCGACGTTCTCAAAATCGTTGTTCAACCCGCCCGCCGCGCGTCTCCCATCTGGAGACGGCTGCCAGCCCCCCCCCCGCGGCTGATGCCGCCGGGGTGTGGAGGAGTGGCCACGGCGCTTTGGAACAACAACCACACGCCGTTGTGGCAGATGTGCAATGGCTCGCGACGCCTATGCGTGTGTGTTATTTTTGCGTCCTTTGTTCAAACCGATTTTCGCCTTCTTGGAGACCGTTGTCTCCCTATTATTATTATAGTCTACTGCTGTACCGTCACGCACAAGGATATTCAAAGGTCCGACGTGGTCATGATCGTGACGAACGGACTTTGGGGTAAACACTTGTCAAGCGAGAGCCAAGACGCCAGAAAAAGCACACCCCTCAAACGCACACACCCCCTCCTTTTTTTGCTCTCCTTGCGGCGTGCTCTAGAGGAGGTGGCGCGGGGGGAGTCCTATGTTTACACTGCTGTTGAACCGCGTTGCAGCCGCACCCCGTGTCCGGATGTACTTTCATCTCTTGCGTCTGAAGGGGATTTTTGGAGAGAGCTACAGGTTGTTGCGCTCGACAAGACTTGGAAGGCGGTGCCGCAGAGGGGGGTGTTTTCTGTGTGACCCCGCGCTGCGCTGTGTTGTTCCTCGGTTAAAAGGAGACAAAACCTTACCTAGAGGGAAGGAAGGCACGCATGCTTGAGCGGTTCTACTGAGGAAAGTGGTGGGACTTGGGGATGCTTTAGAATCGTGGGAAGCACACCTCTTGCTTTTCAAGACTTATCATTGGTTGCAATCCCTTTTGATGCCTTGTATAACAGCAGCATACAGCTCCCGTCCGAGTCCTGAATCGAACATGGTCGTGCAGATCGCACACACTTGCGTATATTTGCACATCGAACTTATTTCCAGAGTGCCCTCGGGGGAATAGATTGATTCGGCACAGCAGTATTTCGGAAAATAACACTTGAAGCACTCGGGGGAATAGGGAACCTGCACTCAGAGAATATAATTCCCACCCCCGGCCGTATGCCGAACGCCGCAGAGCGCTATACAACTTGAGCGCAATTCCAATCAATCAAAATCTTCAGGGCAAGTGATGAAGGACGTATATGCCTTTTGGTCTGTCCATTAGGCATATACGTGGGGTGGCAGACGCCCCTGGCTGCCTGTTTTGCCTTGCAATGTTGCGTTTGTTGCACCCCAGCGGGGATTTTTCTCCATCAACCCCGCTATGCTAATGCGACATTCTCGCGATGACTTGCAGCAGCAGCAGCAGAGGCAGCAGCAGCTTCGTGTCACGCACGTGTTGCTGCGAACGGGATTCGGATTGACGGGACCACAGAGATATGCCGGCAGCGAGAGGTAGCCTGACTATTTTTACCCTCAACTCGGCCACACGGAAGACACATTTGTGGTACTTGTATGTGTTCACCGCTCTATACACCCCCAAGTCCGCGTTTCGAGAACCAAGCATCCACGAAGCACGCGATCGATACTGCTGTACCCCCCACCGAAAGAAACTTTGTAGGCGTGTTCCTCGGCGTGTAGACTGATTATCCCAGCCAGGGGGGCGGGTGGGGGGGGGGGGGGGGGGGTTTGGGGCGGGTTCGAAGCCCCAAAAAATTAGGGGGGGGAAAAAGGGAAAAAAACCCTTGTGGGGGGGGGTTCCCGGGGGGGGGGGGGAACCCAATCATGAGGGGGGGTCTGGGGAAAAAACAACAAA